GAAAAATAATACCTTCTAGTTGGCTGGTCCATATCTAGAAATGTTTCTCGTGTCATAGTGAAGTTTTTAGAAGGATCAATTACAATGAATGTTTGGGTAAGTTCCGAATATTTATTTTGTAATCACATTTACGTGGACAGATGTGCGCATTTCAGTCAAAAATTACAGATCTCGACGAGGAAGAACAGATGGAATGTGTGCTCCAGGTGGCCGCAATCACCACTGATTCCTATTAATCTGAGATGTCGACGGAGAACTGGTGACATGAACCAAAGTTCATCGGGTTGGATCATGTATATCTTTTGGAATTCAAGTTGTCCGAAAGGATTACAGCAGAGACCTAGTGAAATAGAAACTACGGGAACGTAAACGGTACGCAAACAGTTAAGGTCAAGCATTACAGTAAGGCTGATATTTGGAACGATGCAATTTACTGCACTTTCTTCTGATAAAATAGATGCACATGAAGATAGAATGGCACTCGAGGAGGGGGACGGGATTGGAACGCAACAACAGATACCGGTCGATGGTTCGATAGATTTTGGCATAGAGTGAGAGATATGGCTTTGTGAGTATTTAAAAACAGTCAAACCTGAGACAAAGAAATTGTGCTTGTGAGTCACAGTCAAAGAGAAGCAATGGGAAACCCCCAATTCAAGGGACAAGGAGATATATTTGGCCTCAGCTGATTGTAGAACTGCAGTTGGAACGTATTCAACATTCATTCAACGCCGGTAGCGTTGGCTATAAAGGATTTCATTTAACGTGATCATTTAAGAGTCTAAGGTTATCAAAAACAGTGTCTCACCGTTCTTTCATCAAACGATCGCTTCTGAAACAATAATGGGCAAACAAACAGATTAACTAAATGTCAATTTTCTAATCAAAACTGCTATTGTGTGTAATTGATTCCATTCATTGCCTGCGTTGAGATAAATTTTGAAGCAGCTGAAACAAAACCACCGTTCGTTTATGCTTTCCTGTCACATTGAGGGTAATTGTGTGCTTATGTCAATGTTCAGCACACAGTAGAAGACACATGTTCGGTACTGAATTGCAAGCACCTATTGCCGGTGGTGAAAAAGAAGTCGTTAAGTTTACAGCACCGAGAACGAGAAATTCAGTCGACCTGATCAGTGAGAACGGATTTGATGACTTATCAACGGATGCATTTATTTGCATGAATAGACTATTAACGCACTGCTTTGAGTTGTACACTTATCCTTCTCCACACTCACTCACTCACTCATTCACTCACTCACTAACTCAAGCACTCACATAGTATCAATGTGTTGTTTGCTTCAGTTTCTCATCTATTTAAGTGCTTTTGGGAATTAATATTTTCCAAGAGAACTAAGATTCAATGTGTATAAGTTTCCGAGATGCTTCAAAATGCTACTCTCACAATATGACCTTTAGTTCCCTCAGTTGAGCACTAGATGTCCTCAATCCAGCCATTGTATCACCCAAGTGCCGTTTGAAACCTCACCAAGTCTCTGTTTTTAAGCATTTTTTCTAACCTACGTCAGTCCTACTCTTGTGCTTGACCTTTTGCGTTTTCCGTTGGCTGTCCACATGAGGTATCGTGGTATTTCTGGTCGCTGAATCAATTCTGCTATCAGCCAGTCGCTCCCTGTTAGTTCTCCCACTAACTTTGAAGTTTTACTTCGTGACTTCACTTATCCGTCTGTATACGACAGTGACCACACGCCAGAAAAAATCGGTTACTGTCAAAAGTCGGTTCTTCAGGAAATGCTCTCAATGTATTTTCTCTAGTCCACTGGACACAAATCACATTTGGGAAGCGAATCATTGGCGTTTATATATAAACCTAAACCAATCAGATTGTTCGGGCCGGCAAATTTAAAGTCTTGTACGGACCAATCACAAAAATGCAATTGATGCAGTAAAACAAAACGACCAATTCAAACAACATTACAACACATCCTTCTTCTTTTTGAAGTTCTTCATTATGATCCTGATTGGTATATTCGTCCACATCG